CCCCCCCGGAGCCAAGGCGCGGCAGCGGCAGCTCGGTTGAGTCCCAGCAGGTGGCGAAGCTTGCACTCCGAGCTGGAAGACGCCGAACACCGACAAAGACTGTCCAATGAAAAATGTGTGTGCGATAATACACACCTGGAATAAAGCAGAAAGTGTGTGCAAGCATCAAGCTCGCAAGTTGCGCACACCACTCAGTGGGGGATCAAAAGTGGAAAACAAAATATGCACTCTTCTGCTCAGTGCAACACCTTTCTCAAAATAGTATCGTGCAAAGGAGGATGCAATTCAAATATGATGAAACGTCTCTGGAGTCATGAAATAGTTTGTGTGTGCCGCATCTTCGACCTTCCTGTGCTGCCTAACTTGGGGTGAGATTGCGCAACCTTTGACCACACTAGTCAAAATCGGATCAGTAAATCAGTAAAGTACTTCTTTTGCCAACATTGAGCCTGTAAGTTAGACTGTCCAGCTAATACTTAGCCTAACATACATGCATGCACAGTGCAGACACAGACGGCATGTTTTCGTAGACTGCTTCGATGAGATACATTTTCCCTACAACCCCCTCAAATATATCTTTTTGTCGAGGGTTTTTTTTTGTACAGAAAAACAGCACGACATTACCCCATAAATGGGTGTTCAGTCACACTTTAATGATTGTATTTTCTTGAAGTTCTCAAGTTCATCGGATTGATTGGATTGGATACAACTTTATTGTCAAATGTGCTGTATGTGTAACATACATTTGATGTTAATATACTGGTTAAAAATAGCCCTTTGGAGAACTTCAGCGGGATGTGTCCGGCATACCTCACCAGGGACATGCCCGAGCCACCTCTTCTGGCTCCTGTTAATGCAGAGGAGCAGCGGCTCGACTCTGAGTCCCTCCGGGATAACCGAACTTCTCACCTTACCTCTAAGGGAGAGCCTGGACACCCTGCGGAAGAAACACATTTCAGCCGCCTGTACCCGTGATCTTGATTTTGTTCGACAACTCGTAAGCATGGGCATAGCAGTGACAGTAGGAACATGGATCGACCAGTACATCAGAGAGCTATAATAACTCTGAACTAAATTTATTTTGTGGACCTCCAAATTAGGTGCATTGCGTTCTGCCAGTTTGAGAACAGGGAACTTGACTGGATTGATGAATGTCTGTCAATGGGCCATGAAATGATGTTTTTCTATCCGTTTGTGTGATCAGATGCATGTTTTCCCGCAGGCCGCTGGTGGCAACGGCATCAGCAAGAGCTCCAGCATCACCAGTAAGTTGGCATGTTGGACCAACGGGCGTAGCTAGCCCTTTGGCGACCCATCGTGAAGACGTTGCGTCTGCTCTGTGTGCTAAGGTGTGGGCGCGTTGCTGCCACTGCTGCCCGAGCTCAGAGGTCAGGTGGTGCAGCTTTCGTCAGCCACGAAGGAGCGACTAGAGGAGCTGCAGCTGGAAGGAGATCTGCTCGAGGTCTCTCTGGACCAGACGCACATCATCGGCAGAGTCCTGCAGGCGGCCTCCGATCCGCCCGTGGCGACACTATGCACACTCATTCAGGTCAGCACTAAATTAATCGTGTTTATGACTCTTGTACTTGAACCTTATAGACCAGTGGTCCCCAACCTCAGACCTTCAGCGCTTAGTGAGATGCGGGCTTTTTTAGCACTGACCTTTCTAGGATAGTCTTGAGGACCGGACTTGGGCACCCCTGTTCTAGAGTCCTGGTCAAACTTGGCTCCACGGGATTAATGATGTTCTAAATGCCCAAAGGGAATAATAATAGTAATACATATCTTGGTATAATGTGTGTGCCTCCGTAGACGGAACTTGAAGAGCAGCAGCGAAGCAGTCGAGGCCGTACGAAGGACTCTAAGAGGAAGCGAAAGAGCCACCGAGGAGGCGACGGCAGCGTTACAGACGGTGTAGGAGCGGCACCGCTGGATGTTTCCGACTCCAAGAAAACATGCCCCTCCCCTCGCCAGGCTACCCAGACTCATATGGAGGTACGCCCGCCAGCCTTTCTTCACTTTCCTCCTACAGTGGAACCTTGCTCCACAAAAACTTCAACCGGTTCAGACACATGACCCAACCTGGAAAATCTCCACTTAGTTCTGGTTTCAGTCAGCTGCCTTCCCTAACTATGCCATACCTCATGAAAGCAGACCTGCAACACAGCCTCAACTAAAAAAAAAAAAAAAAAAAAAAACCTTGTTAGTTTTAGGATAGCAATATTCAGAACATTCATATTTAAATATCAATACAAAATATGTCATGAGCAGAATGTTGCCAATCAAAGAAGCGCTCTTGACTGTGACCAACAAGGAAAGCGCAAAGAAATATTTTCTTTATTCAAGTGGGTTCTGCAGATAGCAAGAAGGATTCTCCAAAGTGAGTCTTTTTTGACATCGTCATTTTGCCGCTTGCATGTCCCTTCAATGACACCTGGAAAACACGGCACCACCTGTCAAGAAGTGTTTTTGTGGTTTTTGTGAAATATCGTGAGATTTTGAGATCGGTGGTGGAACAGAAGTTTGACCAAAACTGTCAAATGTTTAAAAAAAAACAATGCTACTTAATGTGTGGGTTGTGTAACAGACCCTGACATGGGCCTAAGATTTTTTTTCTTGTTTTCTTGACAGACTCTGTGAGGGTGCCCCTTGGCTCTGTCAAAGAATCGAATGGAGCAGACTCTGACAAAGGAAAGATGCGGGACACCCAACACCACAACCTCATCTCTCAATCTTGTACACTCCCCCGACACAAAATCTGACTTCCCATCTCCCACAAGGTCTGACTTCCCTGGATCCGTTTCTCCTGTCAGCTGTTTGAATACTGTCGGATAATGTGGGACCTCCTGTAATAGAAGTGTGTTTGTGGTCTATTTAGATTTGTCTCCCAGGTAAGTTGGTATGCTTCGTTACCCGCATATTAAAGTGGAAGCTCCCCCCCTGCCCCACCGCCACCCCATTCTTGAGCTCCTCGGATAAGCTATTCGGATTTTTGGGTTTCTACGAGGCCACGATACGACGCAGACTCGCGCCGCAACCTTGATGACTTTTATTTTTCTAGTCTTACTGAAGCTCGTGTTGGCAACATTCGGAAGGGACTGGTGACGTCGTTTTGGGAAGTGTTTAAAACAAGCATTCATGTTTTTGGTGCTACTTTCCCAAAATGGACACTATGCGACCCTGGAGCAGTGCTGATTTCGGTCATCCTCTCAGTTCCACTTCCCTTATCTGCCAAATAAGGTAACTTTACTGTAACTCACTTTATTTCCCAGTTTCAAATGATATTCTTGTTGTTGTTATTGTTATTATTATTATTATTATTGCAGAGGGACACTGTTATTGTTTGTGTATACACTTTTTATTTGAATGTTGCCTTTGTTTCTTTTCACTCTTGTTAGAAAAATAAAGATTTAGAGAAGAATTGTTGAGGTAACGCCGAGTCATTTTTCCCCCCGCCCCCCACTTGCGGAGGGACAGGTAGAACACTAAAAGAAATAAAGCCGCAAAGCTTGATGAACATGGCGTTTATTTAGAAAAATCACACCAAGTGGACAGCACAACATTGAGCAAGGAACTACTGGCTAGCACGATCACACACGGTCACACTATTCAAATATAAAAAGGTGGTCTCAATATCAAACTTGCATGGAAAAACAAACATGTCAAATGAGCTTCGTTGACGTGGAAGACCAACGGCACGTTTTCCACACGAGCCATTTAGCAGCCACTTGAAGCACAGGGAAGGAAAATGCTACAACTCAACAACTAAAAGATTTTTCGAAAAGATGTGTCCGTAGCCAAAGGGTGCTTTGAAAAAAATAGCAAGCATGTTTTTGCTGTATGCTGTTGTGCCATTATGTTCAAAACATCAATTTTGTGCTCCCTTTCAAGTCTGACTAAAAAAAAATAAAAAACACCTTGTGGTCAAAACAGGCAGATTTCGAGACAGTTCACCTCTGCTGCCTGACTTGAGCTTTTTCTGAGTCATTTATTTGTCACCTGGCTAAACAGCAGATGGCGCAATCCCCCCTAGTTTTCATTTGTATTATTCCCGAAGCCCTTGGCGCATTTTCTTTCAATCATGCCACACCCCTTTGTCATTGTTGTGCATATCATGTTTTATGGCCAATAAATCCTCTTTTCCCATGACCTTCGCAATGCAGTCCATCAATGCAGCTGGTGTAGTTTTCTTGAATGAATGAATGAATAATATTAATAATTCTCAGAAGCAGCTTGTTGACAGATTAGTCAACATCATTGTGTAAATGCAACCACCAAGAACAAAGTCAGGATACAGAAAATTTCAGTTCGTGATGCTCCAGGTGCCAAACTGTTTTCCTGCATTGAACAAGGCAAAGTCCTTAGATAAGAACCCCTTAAGACAGAGTGCTGTGCTTTTTGTCTCCGCGCTTTTTGCACCATTGTATGTGTTCAGGTATGGATTGCAGATTTCTTTTTTTAATCTTTTTACCCTATTCACACTGAGTTTGTGGCAAGTTCAAAGGGCAACTAATTTATGATTGCATTTCTTTTCCAGATCTATTCTTTTACATTTTCTCATGACTTTATACTTTTTGCTCCATACATCTGAAAACATAACAGTGTCAAAAGTTATGAAAGATGACACAATGGTAAAAAAAAAAAAAACTGCAGTGGAGATCTTGATTGATTGGGATCTTTGAACTCACGAAGCGGGAAAAGCGGACAGGAACGCAAAACGGTGAGCATAAACAATGGCAGAGAAGCAGAATGTTGCCCATCCGTGGCCTGATTTGAAAGAATTTGCAATTAAAACGTATTTGCAGCAAATGTGCTGTGTGCAATCTAAAAAAAGAAAAACCCACACACAAATTACAAAAGAGTTTCAATATTCTATCTGAAAGAAACTTGCTTTTGTTTGTTTTTAAAGTTCACAGTAGTGGTGATCAGAGGTAAGAGCACATGATGTTTTGAAAGCAAAAGTCAGGCCAACTCTAGCTAGCTCTTAAAGTGTGACATGTCGCATGATCTTTCTTTCATCTTTACGTGACCACTCAAGAAAAAAAGAGGGGAACGATTTTGTGTGCAAAAATTCTGCTCTTGTGCTAAATTAAAAAAAGCATGGACTGTGTCAAATTGACAGTGAAAAGAAAATGATTTCTATTTTGTACTTTTGTACTTAAGTGCATTTCCACTAGTATCCTATTTTTACTTGCAGGATTAAAATTGATGCTTCGACTTTTTCCCTGGAACCCCCACTTATTCACACTTGATCTGATCCAAAGCTTATTTGCATGAAAAAAACATGGTCCCTGTCCCTCCGCGAATAGGATTGTTTTTTTTCTTTTTTGTTGTTTTATCTGCTCTATTTTATGCTACGAATAAAAAACATACTATATTTTGCTTTTGGGTGAAAGTCAAAGCTAAAAGATGGAGATGAAATCTCCAAACTTCTGAATGCACATGTCCAACTCTTTAAGTTACATTCCTTCTTCCATAAGTTTTGCTGTTTGAAAACAAGGAGGTGAAAGGCCAAATTCACAACAGCTGTTGGCTCCCTATGTGGGCTCATTCACTTGCTGCTTGAATTAGGATTGGTATTGAAATAGTCCTCTTCATCATGCTCTTTGCTTTGAGACATCCTGACACCAAAAGACTGACCTGGGTCACAGAAAGGCAATGAGTGCTTGGAAATGGCTCAAACGCCTTGCGTCAATTTTCCTGTCAGCTCCTTGTTGTTGAACAGCGGGTTTTGCCCCAAAAGAGCTGTAGCGTTGAACAGGTGCATCACGAGTTGATAGAAAGTCAAATTCAGTTCCCCTGCAAAGGTTCGAGAGCATTTTAGGCTCACCTTGAAATTTCACCCAAAAGCCCAGTACCCCTAATTTGTTTTGTAAGTCATTTTAAATCTTGTGAGTCCTTTTGCCACCTCCAATTGGCACCAATGCAGTGTAAAGGGACATGTCCTCATCCAACACTTTGTCCCGCTCAGACTGTGGTGACGGACAGCAGCGGGTTGTAAACTTTGGTCCCATCGGCGGAACGCGCCCCGTGGGTCAGCAGTTCTTGAATGGTAATCCAGTTGTCCAGAATCCTGCGGCTGCGCTTCTTCATACTTCTGCGGTGGCACAGCTCCAGGATGGAGGTGGGTTCCTGCTGGTGCGCTCCAGCGCCATCCCCGGACTCGCCGTAGACACCCGAGCCCTGCTCCCGCTCCCTCAGGAAGTCGTGGCGGCTCTGCATCATTATCTCCCGCCGCCGTCGCTGCTCTCGCGCCTTTTGCAGCTGCTGCTTGCGCTCCTCTTTGCTCCAGTAACGGCCCATCTTCATCTCGCTCACCGCGTCATCATCCGTGGTCATGCCGCTGCGTTCTTCTCGGATTTTCATGGCCCGCGCCTTCAGGAGTCGGTCCCTCACGGGCCTTTTCGCCACGTAGCGTGAACCGTCGCTCCGGATCTTCACTTTCCACTCCATACGTGGAGACAAGGGCCCAGCGGCTCCACTTGGGACCACGTCTTTACAAGTGCTGCCCAGACTCATGGGGCTGATGTCTCCTCCTCGGGGGTCCACGCCGCCTTCCCCGGGGGCTTCGGAGGCCGACGGCGACCCCAGCTGCATGCAGCTCATGTAGTGCTGAGGCAGCGTTGTTTCGGCACGACGGCGAGACATATAAGGACTGTTCTCGGCGCTGCGGCCCCCGGACCTTGCGCTCGGAAGGTTGGCTTTGCAGTTACGTCTCAGCCCTCCGTCGGAGCCCCTCCGGGCGCCTGGGGTGGGTCCTCTCCTGGCTTGGTTGAGGTTCTCTTGGACCCAGGCCCCTCCTTCGTTTCGTGTCGTCCTCTCTCTCTGCCTGGAGGGGACACTCTTCTCCTGTCGAGGTTCTCCACTTTGTGGGCTGGCTGCGCAAGGGTGCTTCTCATTGACCAACGGGGTGCTCATGCAGCTTTCCCCTCCAGTGTTGTAGGCGCTGGTGCTGTCCTTGTCGGAGCGCTCCCTCTCGGGAAGCTCATTGATGTCGGACAGAGCCTGGTGACGAGACTCGTCGCCGAGCGAGCACCGGCCGGCCGCCTTCTCCTCAAGAGGCCAAGCTTTGAGGCAACGCTCCCTCAGCTGCTGCATCTTCTGTGCCCGCAGGATGTTTCGACACTTGAACTCCAGGTGTCGCAACTCCTCCTCCAGAAGCACCATCTCGTGCCGCGTCAAGCTCTCGTTCTTGTTCTCGTCCAGTGAGACGCCTCCTCCCTCGCAGCCGTCGCTCCTCTCGTAGTAGCACTTGATCTCGAGCAGCTCCTTGTACCTCTCGCACTCTTCCTCAGTCAGCCCGGGCATCATCATCCTCACCGGGTCGCCCGTGTAGGCCCTGTCACTGGCTTCCAGAGCCTCCGGTGCGCCGCCGCTGATGCAGTCCAGGCCCAAGAGTGAGTCAGTGCTAAACTGGAGGTCGTGGCGGTACAGTAGCGGTGGCGTGTCGCTTCGGGGGGACGAAAACTTGCGCATGCTTCCGGGTGTGTTTGTGGCGTTCGTATTGGAGGCACTGGTGTGGTCGTCTCCTAAGAGGTCATGTTCCGAGGACTCTTCGTAACGGGTGCTTTCGTCCGTGCGGCCCACTCCGCTGTCCAACTCCTGGCTGTTGCTCAGGACAGTTTGCAGCAAATCGGGCGAATCCCGGTTCAGTAAGCGATCGTGGCACCCAGAAGCAACGCCCCCCGGGGCGGAGGCCTCCCAGGTGCCGGTGCTGCTTCTGTGACTAGCCAGCAGGTGGGTGGCGTTGTCCACTGGCTCCTGATGCTCTTTGTCTGGAACCACTTGGATGTCATTCTAAAACGCATGATGGAAGAGAAAGAGGAGGAAATTTTCATTACAAGCATTCATTTCCACTAAATGTACAGTGCTAACTTCCATCCATCCATTTTCCGATCCGCTTTATCCTCACAAGGGTCGCCGCG